AGCTTTCAATAAATGTATGTTGATGAATGAATGACTAATGAGGCTTTTGAAAGCCTCACTCTGGGTTGGAAGCCACTCAGGCTGGTGAAGTGAAACCTTTTCTTCTTGCCACTTCACATTCTGCTTCCTTTGGGCTGATTGAGACAATATTTGTCCAACTCAAACCACTCTCCTTCCTGATACCCCATCTTGACATTTTGGAGGTTGAGAGAGAATCCATTCTTTGCATGGGTAATCCCCTGAGCATTCTAAACACTACATAGTGTATCATGATCACACAGAAGGACTCCATATTAGTTACTTTTCTCATTGCAGCTACAAAATACCCAAACAAGAATCAATGTAAGGCCTTACTTTGGCTCACAGTTCTGGGGACAAAGTTCATCATATGAGGAAAGGTGTGGAACAGCAGGAGTAGGAGGCAGCTGGCCACAAGCAAGGGGCAGTCAGGAAGTAGACAATGAACAGGAAGTGGATCAAAACTTCAAGGCTCTTAGTCAACCACTCCCTTCTTCAACAAGGTGCCACCCACCTAAGATTCAACAACTTTCCTAGCACTAGATAGAGATCAAGTATTCAAATACATGAACCTAGGGGGGACATTTCACATTCAAGCAACAACAGGTTTCTTTCTGACACCTTTTCCCTGTGGACTCTGGTCTGGCATCAGGGCTTATAAAAATGATAAAAAGTTTTCCTTGCAAAGTTTATTACTTATGGGTCTCTGGGGGACCATGGTGGATGTTGCATCTAGGACTTTGCCTTGCTTAGTTGACCACAGGCCTTTGAAGACTTTTTTTTTTTAAATTATGTAGACTGGTGATGGATCAACAGATAAAGGCACTTTCTAACAAGCCTGATGACTTGAGTTTGATCCTGGGGTGGAAGGTGAGCTGACTTCCACAGTTGTACTCTGATTTTCACATGTGAGTCATGGCACATGTGTTCAGACACAGAGAGAGACAGAAGGACTGAAATGCACCCACAAGAAAAATTGAACTATGTGTAATAAAATTAAAAAAAATAATTGTATGTAATGTGTATTGTGCACACTGATGTGTGTGGGTGTTTTAGTGGAAATGTGAATGTTCATGTAATAGTGCATGTGTAGAGGTCAGAGGACAACCCTGGTATTAGTCCCCACCTTCCACCTTGTCTGAGACAGGGTCTTTTTGTTGTTCTCCACCTTGTATACCAGACTAAATGGCCTGTATGTTTGTGGGGATTCGCTTGTCTCTGCTTCCTATCTTGGGGTATGACTGCTGTGATTGTACTACTACATCTGGGGATCTGAACTCTGGTCTTCATGCTGGCAAAGCAAAAACTTTATCCAGCAAGTTACTTCCCAACCCCCAGGGTCTTAAAGAGATAGTAAAAGCTCTAGGGCTGAAGGCAGAGGTTTGAGAATTTTTATCAATAGCTCTCATGGGTCACATTTCTCTGATCAGTAGCTACTTGGAAAACAATACTGTGGCTGCAGATGGCCGATTCAAAGAAGAATAGGATTTAGAACAAAGGGGACTGGTTTCCACAGCAGTACAAGGAAATAAAGGCTCCTGAGAGCTCACATCTTCTCCTTGTCCTTATCTTCCTGCATCCTACCCTTAGCTTGACCACCCTCCAACAGGAGTGTACAGTCAAACCACAGAATGTGCTGTTAGTTTTCTTAGAAGCAACCGAGAGATACTTAGGACCTAAGTAGTCCTGTCCACTTTGCTGGCCTGGCCCACATTCTGGGCTGCCTTGGCAGGAGCATGCTAGCAGGCATAGGTTCATACCACTTCGAAGAACCGCCCCTCCAGGTGCTGAAGGCAGCTTTTCTGATGCTCACACTATATCACTGTTTATTTTTGTAAGGATCCCAGCTGCTGTGGTGATGATATTTATATCAATAAGTGCTCTATTCATCTGCCGATTTCAGGGGATGCTTGCCAGCTGTGTATGGCAGCCAACCTTGGGGTGCTTCTGAGCCTGATGTTTTTACATTCAGAGCTGCAGCTCTCAAAGGCTGCACCAACATCTGGGGCTGAAAGATCCATCATTCACCAAGGATCTACCATTTAAAAGGGGGAGCTAGAGACCGCAACCTTGACATTATATGTCCCAAAGTGAGGTTCTTCATAATTGCCATTCTGTTTCCAGGCTCCAATTTTGCAAAATGGGTGTTGGGTAAAGAGAAGAGCAAATGGACTTAAATCCTTCTACTGGGGATTGAACCTAGAGCTTCCTGAATGCTGGTCAGGTGCTCTGCCACTGAGCCACACCTTTAACAAGTACATGTGGGTTTTTTTTTTGCACGTTTCATCTCACTCGCACTTCATAAATGTGAGTTACCTTACTTGTTCAAGTAGAAGAACAGGCGGTGATCATTTCTGATTCTAGAACGAAATAGGGGAATTTCTAGAAATCTCTTTTAGGGGAGTTTATTTTTTTTTCTATTGTTATCTTGGTTCCCAATCCTCCATTCTTCAGGCCCTAAACTTTAGTGTCATCCTCTATCTCCCATCTTCAACCAGGCAGTATATTTTGTCTTCCTACCTTTGGGGTACATATAGAATATACACCATGCTACCACCTTGCTCAAGCCACCATCACCTGCACCTGACTATTGTTGTTGCCACTCCCTGTACTTTTAAAAGTCAAGTGATGTCACTCTCCTGCCAAGTCTGTCTGTGTCTCCCTATCCTATGCAGAGTGAAGCTCCAAGTTCTCTCATGATGACTAAGGTCACCTACGGCATGTAACCCTGTTACTCTTTGAATATCATCACCTGTAACTCTACCCATCTCACCCTGCTCTGGCCTCAGAGTACTATGCTCTTCCTTGAGCGCGTCAGGTGTTTTCCCACCACACTGCCTGCATACACAGTTCCCTTTGCCTGAGACACGGTTCCCTAGAATGAACATTTGGCTTGCTCTCTAGCCTCCTTCTGTGTTCACATATTTTCAAGTCCTTCCTTGAGTACTCTAGTACATCTGTGTCTTGTGCCTCAACCCAGTTTTAAAATATTCATTATGCTTCCTTCTCATCATGTTCCAATATCTGATTGAATTCATGATAGAGCATTTGTTGTTTATGGTTGGTCTCTCCCCTTTAGAATAGGAAGTGCACAGGAGACAGGAATATTCTCGTTTCACCTTGTCTGTGATACATTCCAAGAACCTAGAATAGTTTCCAACAAATAGCAGTAGCAGATGCTCAACGAGTCTGGATGGTATGAATGAAGGGAACCTCTTCTGGGTATGTCTCATGGACACAGTCCAACACACACTCCTTTTCCTCCTCTTCTACTCAGCTCTGGTCCATACTCACCCCTCCTCTTCCTGCCTTTCCATTTTGGCCAGGTGCTTCCTGGATAGCTGATCACCTAAACAAGCTACCTGCCACCATCTGGGACGTCTTGTCATCAACGTCCACATGCAGCTGCTCCCTGAAGTTTGTGGACTTCACACTGGAAATGATTTCACATCTGGTCCAAGTTCTGCTTCTATCTGGCTATTTTCTCTGCTCAGATCTCCTCTTCAATTTCTGAATACAAGCTGTGTTTTCTCTTTAGTCTCTGATTCCCATGTCTGTATTCTCTGGTCCTAGACTCCATTTTCTAATACAAGTTGGAAACCTTAGGACCACCCCCAATGTATAGCAAAGTTTTTCTAATTATCTTGGAACCCCTGGATGCTGCAAAGGGATCCAGATGACAGACTAGCTAAGGGCTATCAGGACCAGATGAAAGACCAGCATGGGTGGTGCTCTGGGTCTCCACTTCCTCCTTTAATATGCCCAGATCCTCCTCCTTCATTCATTGAGTTTGTACAAAAATGCTATTGGTAGAAAGGATCCTGTCACTTAACAACAACAGCCTCATTCTGTCAGTACTTTAGGTCCAGGCTCCTGAGCCTGGCATAAGAAACTTCTCTGCTGACTGAACCCTGCTGTCTTTCCTAGCCTTACCTCACTCTTTCTCTCCAGATACAGCCTCAGTGTACTAGAACGGAAGCTGACTGAAAACAAGCCTCTACACATCCATCTGTCTTGCCTTTGCCTCTACTGTCCCTTCTATGTAGAATGCCTTTTCCCAGCCATTCATCCCCTGTATGACCAGATCTCCCCTGCCCGCTTCAAGGTCCAAGTCACCTTCCTTTTGAAATCTTCCCCCACCCTCTGGGTAGAATTAATTGCTCTCTGCTCTAGGTCAACATGGCACTTCATTGCTGACCTCTATTATAGCACAGCCACATGAGCCTGGGATAACTCACCCATCTGTCTCTGTAGCAAGACTGGCAGCTCCTGCAAGGTTGGGATTATAGCTCAGCCCCATTTGGAAAAAAGAATTATTCCCACCCAAGGCCTATGTAAGGCCAGCGCTCACACAAGAGTGCACTGAATGACTTTGCTTTCCTTCAAGGCACTGAAAAGACTCATGTAAAACTTTGAAAGGCCACCTTCATCTCATCTACCCTAGAATAGCTGTCTTGCCACACAGTAGTGGTCTCCAGAGACTGTCCCAAGATAGTGTCCTATGTCTTAGGTGTGGGGAAGTGTAGACATATGATGGTTGAAGATAGAAGACCCAGAGGGGCTAAGTCATGAAGTCAAGGCTTAGCTGGGTGGTCAGGAAGCAAAGTTCCTAGGTTCAGACTCCATTTTCTGCCAGCAGAGACCACGGCCACATGGCGAAGAGCCTTTAGTGCTGGTGCTCAGTGTTGTGTGGGATCTTGATTTTCTAAGCTCTTCATGATTTAGAGTAAGGCTATAGCCAGTGTCTGAGGCAGGGACAACAGGGTCTTGCCATTGGTATAGTTTGACAAAGCCTACAGCCAAGGGGACTAATTTATGGGTGTCTTTGGTGAAGAATTTAGTGGGAGATTCAGTGAGCAGCAGAATGAGTCTGCCTGACATTCACTGTCTGACAGTGCCCGCCAGTGGGGCATCGTAGTTTCCTCGCAACCCATCATGACTCACTGGTACTCATCAATAGCAGTCCCACGAACCCCTCCTACCTGAGCAGAGTCCATCTCATTCAGCATCACCACAGAGGAACAATTATAATCGAACACCAGCCTCCAGAAATCTGCCACCGTGTTGGGTAGAGGGTGCTGGGTGACCACAAAGGCGGCAGGCTGCTTGTGGCTCTGACAAAGGAATGACACGGAGTTAGTCAAATACATACCCATCAGTGATATTCCGATCATGATGAGGCCGGGATGGCTGCCAGAGGCCCTGAGCCTGCCAAATAGATCTCACATAGCACCTGTCTGCTCTGTTATCTCTCAGTGCCCTGGCGGCAAAGGGGACCTTCTCATAATGAACACATTCTCCTCCAAACTAAGACATTTCATTAGGAAAGTGTCACTTGGATGGGGATTATCCAAATAAATTATTTATGTCTTGGAGCTCAGCAAATCATCATTACAATATGAAAGGAAAGATTTTGGATGCAGGTTTGCTGTGCTGCTGGCCAAGACACCTCTTGGGATATCAGGGATCCCACAAGTTCCTGTGCTTATAATGCTGAGATTACAGGGATCATTTCTGTGTCTGGCCTGGATTGAGGGCTGAGCTAGCCTGGCCAGAGGTGGCATTGCACCCTTTAGCCAACAAGGTGGTAGAAGGCCGCCGGGTATTAGAGTCATGTGGACCTGAGGTTCAAACCCAGTTTTGGCCCTTGAAAATTATGACTCACCCATCTGTTCATTCATCCAGCACTATCCACCCATTTGTTATCCATTCATGCTTTTAAATATCATTGTGGGGAGTCAGGTATTAAACACTGGTGGATCAGTGGATGGTTTCAAAGCTCAGACTCTTTTCCTGGAAAATGCAACTCAAATCTAAAGGGATGACTGTCATACAATGAATGAGATTTGCAAGATAAAAATAAATAAAAACACAAAAAAATCAATCAAACAAAAAAAAATCTTGGCAACTAGGGCTGGAGAGATGGCTCAATGGTTAAGAACACTTGCTGCTCTTCCAGAGGACCTGGGTTTGGCTCCCAGAACACTCAACATGCAGCTCACAACTATTTTTTAACTCCAATTCCAGGGGATCTGACACCTTTGGGCTCCATAAGCAGCACACTCATGTACGTGTGCATACCCACTTGCAGACACAAACACCTATACATAATCAAAAACAATAAAAATAAACCTTTTAAAAAAGCATTTAAGGAATTGCTCATCATCCCTAATCATCAGGGAAATGCAAATCAAAACAACTCTGAGATACCACCTTACGCCTGTCAGAATGGCTAAGATCAAAAACACTGAAGACACCTTATGCTGGAGAGGATGTGGAGCTAGGGGAACTCTCCTCCACTGCTGGTGGGAATGCAAGCTTGTACAACCACTTTGGAAATCAATATGGCGCTTTCTTAGAAAATTGGGAATCAATCTCCCCCAAGATCCAGCTATACCACTCTTGGGCATATACCCAAGAAATGCTCAACCACACCATAAGAGCACTTGTTCAGCTATGTTCATATCAGCATTGTTTGTAATAGCCAGAACATGGAAACAACCCAGATGCCCTTCAACTGAAGAATGGATAAACAAAATGTGGTACATATACACAATGGAATACTACTCAGCAGGAAAAAACAATGGCATCATGAGGTTTGCAGACAAATGGATGGATCTAGAAAAAATCATCCTGAGTGAGGTAACCCAGACTCAGAAAGACAAACATGGTATGTACTCACTCATAGCAGGATACTAGACATGAAACAAGGATGAATTGTCTGCTACTCACATCACCAGGGAGGCTACCCGGAAAACAGGACCCCAAGAAAGACACAGGGATCGCCCAATGACAGAGAAATGGAATGAGATCTACATGAACAGCCTGGACATGAGTGGGGGTAATGAAAGGCGAGGGTCGAGGGAAAGAGAGCTTGCGGGAGTGGGAGATCCCAGCTGGATCAACAACAGAGAGGGAGAACAAGGAATAGGAGACCATGGTAAATGAAGACCACATGAGAACAGGAAGAAGCAAAGTGCTAGAGAGGCCCACAGAAATCCACAAAGATACCCACACAACAGACTGCCAGCAATGGTCGAGAGACAGCCCGAACTGACCTACTCTGGTGATGGGATGGCCAAACACCCTAATTGTTGTGCTAGAAACCTCATCCAACTACTGAGGGATCTGGATGCAGAGATCCATGACTAGGCCCTGGGTGGATCTCTGGGAGTCCAATCAACGAGAATGAGGAGGGTTTATATGAGCGAGAATTGTTGAGACCAAGGTTGGATAAAGCACAGGGACAAATAGCCAAATGAATGGAAACACATGAACTATGAACCAATGGCTGAGGGGTCCACACTGGATCAGGCCCTCCGAATGGGTGAGACAGTTGATTGGCTTGATCTGTTTGGGAGGCATCCAGGCAGTGGGACCAGATCTTGTGCTCATTGCATGAGTTGGCTGTTTGAAACCTGGGGCCTATGCAGGATTGTTTGGCTTGGCCTGGGAGGAGGGGACTAGACCTACCTGGACTGAGTCTACCAGGTTGACCTCAGTCTGTGGGGAAGGCTTTGCCCTGGAGGAGATGGGAATGGGGGGGGGGCATTGGGGGGAAGGTGAGGGGGACGGGAGGGGGGAGAACAAGGGAATCCGTGACCGATATGTAGAACTGAATTGTATTGCAAAATAAATTAAAATAAATTAAAAAAAAAAACAGTAAGCAAGTTCACTGCAGGGGAGAAATACTCTTGACTTAGGTTTTCTTCCTCAACACCAGCATTGTGGTTGGAACACAATAGACACAATCACAGCACAGCACTGGTGAATACCTTAATTTCCCCCGTGTTACAGACAGAGACACTGAGGTCGGGGGGGGGGAGGGTGAGGGGCGCAGGGGGACGGATGCCCTGTGTAAGTCTGGAAGCTTCAGTTGGGCCCCACATGCCATACCACCTCAGGAAGAAGTATTTCGAAGGATTGTGGGGGTGTTTCTACTTCAGCAATAGCTTGTGAAATCCAAGAACCAGCCAGTGTTTCAACACATTTGCTAGGTAGCTTGTCCATGTGGGAATCAGAGCTATTGTGCCAGAGTCATGAGTCAGAAGGAAATGGGGAGAGAAGAGGGACAGAGACCTCAGAGATAGCATGGCAAGGCCTTGAAGACATGTCTGTTATGTCTACACTAGGGATTCCTGTTTCCTGAGGCCTTCTCTTAGCCAGTGGATGATCTAACAAAGGGTATCAGGGACAGACTCTTTAAATATCTCAAACATTTCCAAACTTTAAAAACTAGATCCAGGCTAAGGCTAGTGAGATGGTTCAGCAGTTAAGAGCACTGGTTGCTCTCAAAGAGGACCCGAGTTCAATTCCCAGCACCCCATGGAAGCTCACAATTGTCTGTAATTCCAATTTCAGGGAGTTGCAGGTACCAGGAACACACAACCTCTTTTTGATCTTTGCAGACACACTGATGGTGTGCAGATATATAGTCAGCCAAAGCATCCATACACAAAAAATATAAAATAAAATTAGAAACTCAGGCTTTCACGACAGTAGGCACATGGTCCTTGGTGTCACCGTCTCAAAGCCAGTTGACTTTGAGCAAGTGATGGAAATACTCTGACCCTTGGTACATCTCCAAAAAAATGGGGAGAGTAACACTCCAGGGCAGAACGAGACAATGCAAGTCCAGAGCCCAACATGGTGCCCGACATGCAGTGAATGCTAGTTTTCTTTGCTTTCCTTGTCTCTGTGATAAATGCTCTATTAGGCCAGCACGCCTGACAAAGTCTTATCTGAAAATATGTTCGAGATCTGCGCTCCTGCCGGGTTTCAGGGATCAGCCAGCAATCCATTTCATGGATAACATCATCCTTTCCCAGGGGAAACATTAAAAATTAACCCAGAGGACTTCATATTTTTCTGCTAGAGGCAAAGCTGCTATGGTTACCAGATAATGCACAGACTGGGCTGGAATACAGATAAGGAATTTTTTTTTTTAATATAAGAAAGGCAAAGGCCTCAGTGATGGCTCACAAGAGAAATGCCCCGTGGACAAAGAATACAATCAGAATCAGAGCTTGGCAGAAGGCATTTGACTCCAGGCAGCATCTAACCTACGAAGTAGAGGCCAGGAGCTTCCTTGATCCTTGTTCTGATGAAGAAGGCAGAGAGAGAGAGGATGCTGGGGCAATGGGGGATAATGGTAGGAGGAGCTTGGAAGTATGGGTATACCTTTGAACCATGTCTACACACACACACACACACACACACACACACACACACACACACACACACACGGGGGGGGGGAGAGAGAGAGAGAGAGAGAGAGAGAGAGAGAGAGAGAGAGAGAGATCTTAGAAGGCAGCCCTAAGCTAATATCAGAAGTCTTTCTTCCTCTTTGAGAAATTCCAGCTACTTAACATGATCCAGACATGGCTCCCTGCTTCTGCACTCAGCCAGGTTTCATAGAGAGTGTAAGCATCTGTGAGCCAAAGCCAGGGCAGGTTTTTTGAGAACTTATCTGGGTATCGACCTTATATTCCTTTTTTGTTTCCAAAACCCAGAACACTTGCGATAATCAAAGGTCAGGGAAGTAATGGCCTTGGTCCAGGAAGAGAATACTCTATTATCTAGCCTGTAACTTAGATAGGAGGACCACATGGGCTGGATGGACATGACCTCAGAGTGGGGAAGAGCAAGGACAGGAACCTGGAATTGGCCATCCTCCATCAGGCAATGATGTTCTGGTCCTGAGCCTTAGGAGGCAAAACGCCTACATCTTCCTGGGTCAAACAAACAGGGGAGGGACAATAAATGGATGATAGAGTGGGAACTAGGAATTCTAGTTCTGTCTCTAGCTCCCTGGGTTACCCTGAGCAAGTCTTCCTCAGTCTGGCTTAGTCTGTCCTGCTGAAAAGAGCATGGATGAGACTAGAATGTCTGTGGTTCATACCTCTGGGATCATCTGCATATCCTGAAGGTGTAATGATGATAACTAGAAGATGCCCAAAGACTCAAGGGTGAGACATGTGAGACCGAGGCATGGGAATACTGGGCAGGACATTTCCCTAACTTCAAACCAGAGCAGGGAATGGTTCCCTTCTTGGACATGCTATTGAAGAAGCAGAGGATGATACCTTAAGGGCCATGGTCCGATTCCCTTCTTGATCCTTTTAATACTTCCAATCAGCATCATTTACTGAGCATCTAGTGTGTGCTATCTCCCTCTTTGCTGTTGCAAAGGAGTTATCTGAGGAACTAAATGGGATGTTCCAGCAGGAACCCCAAGATGATGTACCGCATCTTATCTCCTGAGGTCTCAAATTCTAGGGAATGTGGCCAGAACTGAACTTCTGGCTGAGAGTCATTTTTGTGGGAGGTAGAAGCATGCAGGTTAGAGCTATTGACTTGAGCTGTTAAGGGAATTCTTTTTTCGGCTTTTGATTTATTCTGTCCACCTTCTTTGAGCCAAAGAGCCAAAAGCACACAATGTATCTGGGTTTAGACATGAGGCTTCTGGGGAGGGGGAGGGGGAACCATGGTCTCAAAGGCCAGCAGTTAGAAGCAAGATGGCCGGTAGGGTCAGGGCTCTGGGATTCAGCCATCTCCACCTTGGGAAAGAGCTTTTTCTGTAATGGCAGCCAGGAGTTTCCTGCCAGGGCTTAACTTACATCCATCAATGCTGCGTTGATGTAATTGCTGGATTCTCCATCTACTGAGATGAGGAAAGGTAGACAGCGGTCAAGAGGCAGGACATCCATGCTCCGATTCTTATCATGGTTCCGGGGTAAGAGCCCGATGCTGCAGTCCTCAGGCCTCACTCGAGGTGTCACGATGTTGAGTGTCTGTGGGGGCACAAAGGGGAGTAGAGGAGTACACAGGAGGCTGTATCCAAGCAAAGAGACGGATATCCCAGGTTAGCTTAATTTACCTGTCTTTACCCTCCAAGCTTGGCTCTACCATTGTTTTCTCCAACTCATGCTTCTCCCATGACAGAGATATTCCTTTCTATCCTGTGTGCAGCTACAGGACTTCTGAGCTAAGAGACTTTGCCAGGAGCTTTGTGACACCTTCAAGATGCCAAGACTGCAGGGGCAGCATGCCCATGCACAGGCTAAGACATGAGCTGACAACACCTGCCAAACATTTGAACTGTTGTTCAACTGAGCTAGCACAGCATTAAATGAGGGCCAGTCAGAAGGGCATATGGCAGGGAATGGGGCAGAGAATCCCTAATGAATGTTAAACACCACTGGAAGTGCCATGGAAAGAAGGAAGTGATTTTTCCAGCACTTTTTTCAGTGATAAAAGTGTCTCAGTTGTAGGAGGATGGATGGATGCTTAGGATGTGCTCTTTAGGGTGGATAAGGGACCTTTGTGGGGGCAAACTAGTAGGTCTACAAAATTACAAGGCTTATGCTCTGTAGAGCAAGTTCTCACCCAGTTAGGGACCAGGGCTGTTCCAGCCAATAGAGCAGGTCCTGTGTGCAATGACCAGGGTTCTGTGCCTTTCATCCCTCTGTCACTTGGCATGCTGTCGTTAAGACAATAAAGATTTCTTGTTTAAAGGAGTTCTACAATGTCAGCCTGATGGGAATACTGTGAGCCTGGGATTTGCTTGTTTCTTCCTGCCCAGTTCTTACAGATCCATTGCTCAGTTTTTGGCCGTGGGATGAAGGTCTGAACTCTAGCATTTTACTCAGTGATCTATGTCCAGGTCTTTAGCTTTCTACTCAGTCACTTATATCCGGGGCTCTCAGACCAAAGCTGCAGTTTTGACCGTCCTGATTCCAAGGTGTGAATCTGCCATGTCTGAGCTATGCTTTAAGATGGCTAAGAGCTTAACATGAATATAGATAAATGCCCCTGAGATCCTGTTAACTTGCACGTTCTAATTTAGTAGGTCTGGGTGGTGCCCAACAGTCTTCATTTCCAACTAGCACCTAAGTCCAGATGATGGGTTTAAAGAACTTGTGGAGAAAACACTGGGGCTACAGTCCCTCCAGAGTTTAAGAAGCAGGAAATCCACACCAGCATCAGTGTATAAACTTCTGTCCATTCCACAACATCAACAAGAATTAACCAAGACCTCAGTTCAATAGCATAATCACAGCACAAAAGCAAGTGTCAGCCATCATTGAGTGACTGGCTAATAGTTGCTAATGACTGTGCAATCTGATGGTGTGAAAAGCTTTCCACAGCTGCTGGGCACAGTAGGCTGAAAGCACACATACACATCAATCTCACCAAGAAAGGCCCACAATGTGCATTAAATTGCCTGGGTCATTGCTATAGATTGAATGTACACATCTCATCACACACACACACACACACACACACACACACACACACACACACACACACACACACACATGCTACTATACCAGCTCCCAACAGGGCATATGAGGAGCGGTGGGGCTGTGGGAAGTAATTGGATCACCAGGGTGGAGTTCTCACGAGTGGGATTAGTGTCTCTATGAAAAGTTACACAAGTGTGTGCTCCTCTGCTTTCCACCATATGAAACCATAAGAAAGCAGCCACTCACAAACTATGTTGGTGTCTGAGCTCTAGATTTGCTGGCTGTTTGCTTTTGGGCTTCGTTGCTTCCAGAAGTGTGATAAGCAAATGCCTGCCATGTAAGTCAGCCAGACTATGGAAATTTGTTAGGACAATCCAGAGCAGCTAAGTCCCTGAACCTCGGCTTTGCCCATACCTGAAACTCATCTTTGATCTGGCTGGAGTTAGTCTGGGGATCCAGCCTGCTGATGTTGTAGTAGAGAGAGCGGAACTCACACACAGGGATGGCGGTGTTGCCGCAGAGGCATGCTTCTAGGATGGCATCATGCACAAACACATACTGCTCCTGCAAGGTCAAGGGGAGGGGAAGAGTGCTTCAAGTAAGAACAGTTGTCTGTGAGCATTTTGTCCACATCGAATGAATCTTGTAGCAATGAAAAAATGATATGATTTATTCTGCAGAATCCTTAGTTTTTATCCGTAACCCAAAGGTCTAAGTCTCCATGTTTCACAGTGATTGAGCTATGGTGCATTTTGCCCTTGTATACGATGGAACAGCAGAGCCACTGATAAGAATGAGAAACTCGAGAACATGTCATTGCAGTGCTCTCTATGTTCTGCTCACATTTCCAGCTTTCATCCAAAAGCTGCTTGCTACAGAAACCCTGCTCTCTCTGCAGAAAGCTTTCTTCCTACTTCCTGGAGCGTGTTTAGTATTCTCGTCCTTTGTCCCCATCCCACTTTACACTCAACAACCAGAGTGTCTTTAAATCTATTAAGCATAAGTTTATTGATAATTCTGGGTCTTTATAAGTGTTCGTTGGGTAAACATATTTTTTAAACAAAAATTTGACCCCTTTAATTAAAGTGCTTAATTTGAATGTATCATGATTCATTTATATTTAAACACATCTCCATACCTGACAGTGAGGGCCGTGTGTCTGACTTTACCTAGAGCAACTGCAGTCTACAGGCATGGTCTTAAGCACAGATAGCACAGTCATCTTGGCTCTAGTGTTATAGGCCTGGGAATTGGCCTGTGGGCTGTCTCAGAGCCCACAGTAGAGCCAAGTGTGCTAAAGCTTTCAATGAGCATCTGCAGGGACTGGTGTACCTAAAGTCATGGGTATGTCACTTTGCAGGGTTGATAAGCATGGAGCTCCCATGGGTTCTAGATATGCTAGGACATCCACAGCCTTTACTAGAACCAAAACATGAACTCATTGCAGGAACAACAACCTAAGGCATGAAGGAGTAGGATAGACAGAAAACTCAATTAACAGGAGAGTGAGTGGTTCAGGACAAACCACGTGGGCTTTAGCCATGTGAAGACTTAGGTATATAGTTTCTCGGTGTCCTCTCCACTGATAGAATGGAGATGTGAGTAGGAGCTATATCACGAGCTGTGAAGAGTAGGGAAAATATCCTAGACATAAAGAATATGCATTTCTTGGCTCACTGTAGGTGACAACAATTCAGACAGCCTTACTTACATTATCCTCAGGCATTGGGCTCTCCAGCTAGACAGACAGGAACCTGGGCATCTGCCTTTTCTTGAGGGCAAGGGTTGTATATGTCTCTCCAGGAATCCTCAGCCTCTAGCTCAAGTCAAAGTTCTCAAGAACTTGGGGCTGGAGAGATGGCTCAGTAGTTAAGAGGACTTCTGCTCTTAAAGAAGACCAGGGTTTGGTTCTCAGCATCTACATGGTAGCTCACAACCATGGTCACTCTAGCTTTAGGAGATCCAACAGGGTCTTTAGACCTCTGTGAGCACCAGGCACACATGTGGTGCACTTACATACATAACACTCAGACACACAAAATAAAATAAATAAATCTAAAAAGTGCACTTTGTTGGTTAAGCCATTTCCATCAAGGGCTGACTGGGTACATACCATAAGTAACAATACTTCCTCTTCCTCTCCATCCCTTAATCCAAGGATGGAATACTTTCTCTGACAACTGCCATTCAGTCTTACTTGGATGACGGTAGAGACAGAGGACTCAAGAGTTATTGATGCCAGAAGTTCCTGTACTATAGACTCTCAGGATTGGCTGGGATGTCTTACCAGAGCAGGCTATACCGTAATTCTGTACTAATACTTGTGCAGGCACGTCCTTTCTGCATAACTTCTCCACTAATGAGCCTCTGTCCTGCCATGCTTCTCCTTGGCCAAGGTATCAGGAAACTAGCTGGTTCAGTGCCCCAGGACTAACCTCAGTCTGCACCAGGTTGACCCTCTGTGCCCGGAGCTCACGCACACAGTTGAAGATGTCCACCACCCCTTCATTCTCAGCCATGTCGAGCATGGTGTCAATGGCAATGAAGCAGCCAGTCCTCCCGGCTCCAGCACTGGAAGAAAAGTTTGGTATGTGTCAGGGCTCTTAAGGTGGGACGAATTATGGTGACAAGGCCCCTACCACTTAGCCCTGTCTCAAAAGCCTTGTTGAAAGGCAGTGTGTTGCCAAAGACAGATAGGATGATTGGAAGCCTGAAACTCCTGGGCTATGCTGAACAAGTGATCAAATTTTTCCTTATTAAATGGGAGAGTAATGCTTTATCATTGGGGTTGTTTTGGAGGACTTATTTTATTGCACTTATTTAGCAAATGTTTATGTAGTACTTACAAAGTAACACATTGTTGTGCTTTACAAATTTGCTTATGGGCTTCCTTAGGAGGTGATAGGCAAGTTTCTTCTCCCATTTCATGGGTGAGAAGATGAGACATAGAGAGCTTACAGCCTGAGCTCATAGAGATGGCAAATGGGAGAGCTGCGAGTTCCCCCAGGCAGTCTAGAATTTCTGCTACCCTCCTTAATAAGATTTATAATGTGGAATGCAACATTTCATAGTAGGTGTTCCTGTAGGCCCCTCATCTGATGGATATAGTCCGGGGGTACAGTGTAAAACCCTTATCACACTTATCGATGCCTGGCATACTGGAGCCTTCCGAGTAAACATGTCTTTTCCCTCTCTCCCCCCTTCTTTTATCCCCTATTTTTTTTTCATATCAGCAAATAGTTTGGTGGATGGAAGCCAGAAGAGGACAGAGGTTCCAGAGAAGACGTGAGTGAGAGAGCAGAGACCAGAGAGCTCTGAGCTGTGTCAAAGGCAGAGAGTTGATCTGGTGTCCCCTATTCAAGGCCTTGCAGTTGACCCCCTTGTGCTGGCTTCTTCAGGGTCACAAGCCAGACACATCATCAAACTAGAGCCGCTGACAGCCTCGAGACCCTCACCAGGCACCAGGTTCCCTGACTTATAGTCAGTTTCTGATTACTGACAAGCTTTACTAGTCCAACCTCAAACCAGACACAAAATGGCAAGAAGATAGACTCCACAAGACCCCCTGGAGCACAGTCAGATCTCCCCAGATCAACTCGGGGTTATAAGGCAGTAGGGCTGAATCATAGAACCCTGGCCTGTATTGCCCACCGTTTGGGAAGGGAAGCAGCGCAGACTGTCAAGGAAGCCCACATTGGTGGTGGTTTCACACTTTACTTACCCCGGGGAAACTAATGTCTTTGTCTAACAATGTGGAAATCAAAGGAAATGCAAGGGGATGGATGGAATAAGATGCAAAAGCAACATTGGCTGATAAATCCAAGAAGCATAGGCCAGCAGGGACCCACACGTTAGTGATCTGGAAACCAAACCCCTCGGAAGCAGTCTTCACTGATGATAAAACATCATGGTTTGAACTGAGTGGAGCCTGCCTTATTCTTGCCTCAAAATACCTGTCCCCAGTGTACTCCAGACCTATTTAAAAAGAACTCAACAGAATGGGTTCTGGAGCCTGGGAAGAGGTCTATTAAAAAAATCACTCATTCATCTGTTCCCCAAAGCCTCATCCTCAATGTATCACATGGGAATGACCAGCATCACTAGTTTTCAATCTAGGCTACAGTATCAGAGAATATGGTGCTGGTGACTGTGAGCCTCAGTTTGTGCCTCTTAGAAGAGTTTTTGAAAGGTCTGAGCTGTGCTTCGCCCCCCCCCCCCCGAATAAAACAGTAGTTAAGCATATGCTATTTGAGATCCCTGAGATTAAATCTTGGCTCTGTTACTGACTAGCTGTGTGACCTTGGGCAAATGACTTCATCTCTCTGGGTTTCACTATTCTCATTCATAAAATAAAACTGGCTGTATACCTCTTAGTATTAATAGTACAATATATGTAAATTGCATTAAATTGCATTTTAGAAGCATAATGCATGTAAATTGCTTAGTTTTGTGCCTGACAACAAATATTTATCAAGCATCCATGATGCCCTGGATGCTAAGATTCAGAGTAGGGATAGGAAGATGAGTAAGACACATGTCTTGTCCAAAAGAATTTATTAAGCCCTGTCTGGGGTGTCAGATGATGTTAAGAGGCAGGAAGGGTGGTAGTTTCAAGTGCTTATTATGTTTGGAATTCTTTCAGGCACTTAGTGTGCATTAACCAAACCATAACAGCCCTAGGAGTAGGTACCACTCTGCTTAGATGCTTTACAGTGACTTGTTGTGGAGATGCAGGTACAGGCCATCATCATACACAGTACTGCATGTGGCAGACAGTCTGATGAATACTTGCCATAATCTTCCTCTCTCTCTTCCTTCTGAACTCTGGCTACAGTTAGGGATATTGGGCTTAGACACTAATGCACCTTTTGCTCTTTGTTTATGGTGAGAGGCAAAGCAGAAAATCCATGCCAAAAGGTTGGACAGTGCAGAGGTTTCTGCTAAACCCTCAGCTTCTACCTATGAAATGTGGATGTGTATCTACTACTGTGGAGAATACAAAGGGATGCTGTGTGGGAAATTTTCACACAGGGCGGGGCTGCCTCTGAGACATTCACAGAGTCTTCCCTGGCTTCTTAGATGACACAGACATTGCCAGGAAGAATGAGATGGCCTGCGCATACAAGGTATAAGAAGATGTGTTGAGCCCAAGGTCGTACTGAAATGGAGGGGCATTGGGAAGGAGGGGAATACAGACTCTGTGGCCTTCAGGTCTGGACATCTACCTTCCTCCAATTCTAAATGCCCTTGACACAATACTTCATCTCCATTTAGGAGGATTCAATGCCACTTATGTTCAATGTGACTTTCTAGGTCAAAGCTGAAAATTTCCCGTCTCTGTAATAAAGGGAAGCTGATCCTGACCACTTGCTCTCTATTAAGGACCCCGAAGGCCAGCAATTGATTTTAAAAATAGTAGGAGTGAAGAGATGCATACTTATACCAAGGTATCCCATGTCAAGTTGCTGCTAGGAAGCTCGGAGAACATGTCAACTATCCCAGTTTTGACATTTCCCACCCCTCTCTTCCATCTCGGTGCCTCAGTTTCCCAGTCTATAAAATGGGAATGATAAGAGTACACTTCTCACTTCTCCAGTTTGGATTGGAAGTGAAACAATTTGGGCAGATATACATGGCAGGTGTAGCAGGTGCTGCTGTGCTCAGCTGTGTCTCTGGGTCATCAATCACAACAGTAACATAAGCCCTACCACCATTGTTGTTAGACCCTGGGACCCAAGTATCCTCAGAAGTTGGCTGGGTTCTGGGTCATAGGAGGAGGGGTCTTAAAGCGAGAAACCAAGGCCATGGGACAAGATGGTATCACCTTCACCTGGAGAGCAAATCCACAGAGGTACAGTTGGTTGCAGAATGGGGATGGAGGTCTGACTCACCTGCAATGGACCACTATGGGCCCGGCTTCTGGGGGATTGAGGAACTTGACCTGGCGGACGAAGCCCAGAAGGCCAGTGGCATAGCAGGGAACACCATGGTCAGGCCAGCTGGTGAAGTGGAAGAGGCGGAGCTCCCGGATCTCGTGGTAGCCTTTCTGAGGAGAGAATGGGCCTCCGTTCCTCCACCTGCTGCCCTCATGTACCCTCCCAGGTCCATGAGGAGTAGGGGATATGGTACTGAGGAACGGGCCTCTCTGCTGTGTGGGGAAACGGGGTACTCATGGGGTTAGTGGGTGTTAGTTCACAGGAACTCTGCCCAGTTACTTCTAGAAAATGTGAAACCAGTAATTTCTTGAAGAACCTCTTAAAATTAATTAAGTTATTTTTATTTTTATGTGTATGAGTATTTTGCTTTCATGTCTTTAGACGTTCAGAGCAATTCCTAGCCGGTGCTAGGAAATCTCTACATTATTGTTCATCTCAAGTTAAGTAATACTCACCAAGAGCCGTCTTTTCCTGGACATGTGCTAGGCACTATGAAAGGGTGATTTAAGCCACAGCTCCTGTCCCGGAACAGCTCATGGCCTCACTGTGTGAGGAAGACTCCTATGTGGATAATTGGACTAGAGTATACAAAGGAATTATCTAACATGATTGGAGGAGAGGAGAAATTAGGGAAGGCTTCTTAGAAGAAGCCTCCTTGACTGAGGTCTGGGAATACAATAGTAAAAATAAAGGCTGGCATTTATACTAAGTACTGGTGATGTCCCATCACTCTTTTGAACACATCCATGTATTTATTCATTTAATCCATGGATCAGGCCTCCTATCATTATCTCCACATTTTAGAAAAGGAAAGTGAAGCTAAACAAGATTCAGAACATGTTTATTAAACTGTAGGGGGATGGTTTGCAGATTGCCCATATGGCTCTGCTGTCCACAGTCTTCATCATTATGAAGCTGATGTGTGTATGAGCCTTCTTACCTCACTGAGGACACAAAGGGGCAGCATGCATGAGATCTTGGGGACAGGCTACAGAGAGCACTGCAGAGCGTCACAAAGAAGCCAGGTCAGGGCCGGAGGGATGCAGAGGACAGCGTAGGGGTATGCAGAGGGCAGCATAGGGGTATGCAGAGGGCAGCGTAGGGAGATGCAGAAGGCAGCGTAGGGGGATGCAGAGGGCAGCTTAGGGGGATGCAGAGGGCAGCATAGAGGGATGACAGGTTTGGATGTGAGGTGGTGAAGCCTGGAGGCCTAGAGCCCCAGCCAAAGCCCTGGCTTTATCTCAAGGGTACCAGGATATCAAGGCTCCCAATTGGCTGCTCTGTGGAGGATGGGCTCAGGGTGTGTGTCGTTGTCCAGACAATCTTGGTTCTTGGGCTTGCATACCATTCTCAGCCCCTGTGTGTCTTGTTTGGAGACATCTCACACTCCCCTTCCTGAGAAGACAACCCTCAGCTTGACCTGCATCCCATCCCTGGGTTGGTTGGGAATAGCTAGCCTTCTCTGCCTGATAGAAGGGCTGAGGTATTAACTGGCTTAGTCAGTAGTCCAGTGTGCCCAGAATGGAGGGCTTTCCTGGGATATAGACCTCCAGTGCTAAACCCAGCATGTTCTAGGCAAGCCAGAATGACTGGTATCCTCGTAGGGACTCAGTAAGAAGTCCTATACCTGTGGAGAAATTCCTGCCCCAGGACCCTGTGAGGTCAGGCTGAAGTGGGTTGCCTACTAAGGTCCTGCTCCCAACTCTCATCCTGCAAGCTTCTTTTCTATACACAATTCATTCAAATTCCAGTTGCTTTGGGCTCTGCTTTCAGGAAATCCAAACTAAGATGGGGCAAGATGAGAGGCAGAGTAAGGCTAGAAGGGGGAGGGGGAATAAAAGCCAGATTGAATCAGGGATGGGGAGGAGAGGCAGAACAGCTCCAGCACTGGCATGTGCCCTCCCCACCTGTGCTGTGCTGTCCTTGGTGGAGCTGTGCTTACTCCAGGAGCAGAGGACACTTCTGTTTGCTGTTTCGGAGTTCCTAGTTCAGGAACTGATGCTGAGCTAAAGCTAATGTTGATAGACTACTGATCGCCTGTTCATAAACCATGGAAAAGCTGTGGTGTTCATCTTTAGAGATTCGTGGGGTCTTGTAAGTGAAGTTTCCTATAGGTAATGCCCCCCTTTATGATTATTTAAAGGAAGAAAAAAAAAGACAAGCCAAGAAAAGACCCTACTCCTTCAACATGCCTTGTAGGCTACAGTTCATCCCAACTGGAGTCTTTGCTTGGAGAGACCCTCTTAACATTAACTGGGGACTCATTAGAGAAGATTGGTGCTCATTCAGACCCTCTTCATGGGGCTTTCACTACACAGTGTTGGTGGTTGGCTCATCCCAGCTGTCCCTTTTCCTGGATGTACATCCTTGAGTGGCAAGAGCTAATTCACCCTGGAGCTAATTAGTTAGCCCTCAGGAGTATGTCCATAGTCAGCTGTAGCACAAATGTATGGACCAGCATCTCTCAATCTAGAAAGTCTTAGATGTGACATGCTGGGCTGGATAGTTCTTGATCACGTGTGTTGTGGATTGTTTAGCAGCACTACTGGCCCCCTTCCACTAGATGTCATTAACAAAATACCCTCTCTCAAGTTGTAACATTCCCACATGTCTTCAGACAGTGACAGATACCCACCAGTGGACAAAATTGCCCCTGGTTGAGACTAGAATCCCAGCCTGGGAAATGCTGGTGTCTTTTTGCTCACTGTACTATGTTTTTGACCCTTGGCCAAGGATATTATTACTTCTATCCTTTCCTTGACTGGAGCCTTCTCAGCCCAAATTTTCTCCACTCTACAAATTACTCCGGCTCTGGGGGTATGTAGTAGTACCCCTGTAAATTCTCTCTTTGTCTGTTAGTCCCTTATGGCTCTTATCACAATATATCCCTTAGTCTATTGCATTTGTCTGTTGAAGTCTGTTGGTCTCTCTAGTTGATGAATCCAATGTAACAGCCACATCTACTCTGATTACCATTCTGTCTATCATGCAGGTGTGAAGTAGAGACAAATCAGACCCTTGGTCTCCACTGTCTGGATGAGTAGACCAGTCAACTGGCTTGGAAGAGGGACTTCTCACAGAAAGGAAAACTTACCTTCTGGACTGTGAAAGTGCGGATGACATATTCTGCCAGGGGCTCTGTTTCAATGAGGGTGACTTTAATGTCTCCATAGACCTCTGTGTCATCTGGCCAGTATCGCACACACTTTACCTGTGGCCAAGTGAGAGACAGGGAAAGGACAGGAAGGAGAGTGCATAAATAGAGTGCCAAGCATGAGAAGCCAACTCCTTTGGTTTTCCCATCCAAATAAACCCAAGGGTGATTTTTGGTGGCATTTCAGCCCATGGGGTGCTCAGTGGTCAGGGATCAGCAAATTGCACAGGGCCTAACTCACTGCCAGAGTCGCTGGGGTCATTAAAAATAATAGCAGTTTCTTCTCTTACAGCTCCTGGTGGTTTTCCAGTGCCTTGCTACCCTAAGCCATCAGAAAGAACTAGGTAAGATGGGAAATATATCATCCCCACTTGGCAGATGAATAATAGTACTGGAGATGGTGGCGTGGTCATTTCCTGCTGTGTCAGCACGGGGCTGCTGAGCCTTATTATCTGAGCAAGAATGAGAAATTCAGGTGGAAAACAGAGAGGAGGTAGAAGCAGAAGGGTTTAGGAGAGGGTCCTTATAAAGAGGCGGTCACTAGGGACTGGAAGGAGAAAGGCTCTTAGTTGGGGAAGAGACAGACAGTCCTGAGCTCAAAGGGAAGATGCACCACTGCTCTCTGCCCCAGAGGTGGGTACCTATGCTCCCAGCAAGCAGCTCCCACATTTGACTCTAAGTTCCACAGAGAGCAAAAGAAATCATGGTTTTTCCCCTTAAAATAGCAAAAGTGTTATTACCATTCCGGGGGACGACGCACGGCCTAGCGTGGCATTTCCCACAGTGTGTTCCGCTGGGTGCTAATAGGTGTTAGGTAAACAAAACAAAACAAAACAAAATAAAAACAAAAACAAGAAACAAAAAAAACAAAACAAACACAAAAAGGTTTTGTGGTCAAATGAGTTTGGGAAATGCTGTTTCAACAAAGTTAAACAGGCTGCTTTGCTAAAACGTGACTTAGATCCTCAGAAATGCTAATGTTAAATATCTTAGGACTCTCCAACAGGGGCGGAGGACACAGCATTTCCCAAACGTATTTAACCATGGAACCCTCTCTTGACTAGCCATCCTGCAGACTAGCATCCCATGGAACCCACTTAGGGAAACACTGAAACTGCAACAGGGTTTGGAGAATATTGCTCGATTCTCAGACTTTATACCTAAGAACTTTCTAGAATGCCTTAGATTCCTGTAGCTAATGAAAGTCGATACTTACCTTGTCTAGCCCTGCCTACTAAATGTTCTATGACTTATTTGTATGTATTATTTTAATTATATGTCACTATAGCCTTAGATAATATGTTCATCCACATTTTACAGATGAGGATTTAAACATGAAGAAGCCAAGAAAACTGTTTAAAGTCAACAGCTGACAAGGGATGGCGTGAGAACTAAGCCCAGACTGTGTGTATCATAACCAGGAACACTGCCTTGTACAATTATTGAGATATAAATAAAATGTAGTGTGTGTGTTGGCCACTAGCAGGAGTTTCATTAAGAAACTGCTCTCCCCTGCAAGACCAGTTTCAATCCACAGTCTACCACCAGGAGAATTTGTTTCAAAATGTGGAATGTGCTGTGGGCCAGGCTGGAATTCTCAAATCCTGGGTTGCTCTTGTTACTCTCTGGAGTTGCAGCCTGGGTCTCAGTCCCTGGGGAAGCAGCTGAACAGCAAGAGCAGCCTGAACAGCGGGGTTACAAGTGTTAGAATGAGAGTCAAGAGTGAGATTAGAGCTGATTGACTCAGGTGTTCACCCATTTGCACCCATGCCTCATCTGTAAAACTGGGGAATGTGCCAGATAAAGGTGAACGTGCAAGGATAAAGTCTTACTTGGCCATGACCCACTATTAGGCAATGAGATGTCCACACCCTTTCAGTACAACGTGACAAAGAAGATAGCTTCATCTTCTCCATCTCTGTGGCCAGGACACTTTATCCTGATTATCTATAAATTTCACCTGTCCACCCATGTGTAGCCTGTATACAGTATGGGAGCCTTTTGAGTCTAGATATTTGTACATCAGCCTTTCAACGATGCAGCCCACCCATCCACCCACAGGCCACAGTTAATCAAAGAGGCAAAAGCGAAGCTGGAAACAGTGGTCCCATTTCTAAGCTCCAGTTAAGGGCAACTTAGGACCCAATCTAGATAGAATAGAGAAAGAGACGGAAGTCTGAACCCTGATGAGATTTCACAGTCAGAGGAGGAAGAGCAGGTAGTAGAGGGTGAGATGCCATGAGAGGAGAAGACAGATGAAGAGAGAGCCATGGAGCCTGGGTTTGTCCACATGAAGGGAGTGATGTTGACGGTATCACTACTGGTGGAATGGAGAGACCTACCATGTTGAGGTGGGTAGAGGAGAACAGAGCAGAGACACAAAGTCTCTGTGAGTCCTTGAGATTCAGGAGAAACATGGGAACAGGGGAGGTACATCTGTTTGGCTTTAAACATGTTTCTAATCATTTTACAGTTATTAATTTTGTTGTGTGACAATTTTGTACATAAATATAATTTATTCAGATTACTATCTTTCTATCACTGCTATCAATCCTCCCCATCCCCACCCTCCCTTTAGCAGGTTCATGATTTTTGTTTTTGTTTTGTGACTCATTTGGTGGTGAGTTTTGTCCCTCTGAGATGGAAAATACTGAGCATATTCATATGCTGAGGGAAATAATTCAGCAATGAGGAGGAGTCCTATATTTCAAATGAAAAGGGAATATGAGAAAAACTCCAAGCCTTATTGTGTTGCACTTGAGGATATTAATACCTCTGATCTGCCCTGCCTGGCTCCTCCCCTCTTAATGATTTATCCTAATGACAGCCCCCTCCTGCCTCCCTTCAAAGCTGAATGTGTCACTTCCTTGCTTTTCAGGGACTCCTGGTTGTCTTCCTGCTCTGTCCTTCTGGCTTCTTTGCTAGTGCAAGTTCATTCTCTTCTTTCAGGGAAGACCAGGTTCTTTAGTGGAAAAAGAATGTTGGGCTAACAGATGAGGAGGGGAGGTGGACAAAGGCTTGCAGTGACCTCTCAGAAAGCATCTTCCCAAGGGTCACCTATCCAAGGGCAGAAATGTAGTGTTTGTCATATTAGGCTTTGTCATAAAAAATGGCCAATAGTCAACCTTTTGGAGTCAACAGAAACAGCCCGTTCTCATGGCTAGACCTGACAACAGAAGGGAAGGGTGTGAAGATGGCTGCAGATACAAATACGATTACAGGCTGGTGATGTATTGGTGAGAGAGTTCCCATCTGATGGCTTTAGTTTTCTCAAAATATATGAGATGACATTACCAGTGGAGAGAGCAGATAGAAATGGGATGGGAGACTTGAAGGAATAGAACACTGCTCAAATGGGAAGTAGGAGTATGGTATGTCCCATCCATCCCTATAGGCTGCCGTAAGGGTGTGGTACTGCTTAGGAAGCTGGTGGCCCAATGCAGGTGTCAGGCACACCAGGGTTCATCTCCACCACCCTCTGCCCACACAACTGAAGGAGAGGCTTACCCTGCCCACTTCCACAAGGTTTGTGACCATGACGATGCTGGCAGAGTTTTCCTGCCAGATCATTCTCCAGAAGTCCTTCACAGTCTCTTGCATTGGACCTGCCAACAGAGAAGGCGATGGGGTTAGAGACTGGGTGCAAAGGGGATGCTGAAAGGTTTGTCTCTCGGCTGTTTAATCAAAGTTCGACACAGGTGGGTAAGAGTGAGGCCAGGGGAGCCTGAGTGGGACACCAAGAAGCTGAGACTGAGGCTGGAGGCATGAATCTGTTGGGGCCAGAACAGAGCACAGATAAGAAAACCCCACGCATTTTAGGTATCTGTGGTCTGCAGCACCCTCCCTACCCTTGTCCTTACCCTCATGCTCAGCCCGGCAGCTCCACTTTTTCAAGATCCACTACTTTATCTGGACTATCATGTCCCAGGGGTTTTTCCAAAAACTGGACAGCAGGATCTCAATGAGAGATAGCAAGGGAATTAGGGTGGGGGGAGGTGGAGCTGCCAAAAGCAAGAGGGTCCCGAGTTTTGAGTTTGACAAATGCCGGAGACTTTCATCTGAAGCTTGTCCAGGAGAGAGGATTAAAACACAGAAAATGAAAAAGAAAGAAAAAAAGGGAAAAAGGCAGAAAAGCAAGGAGTGGGAGATTGGATCTGACAGTCCAGAGCAATTTCCTAGGAAACAACTCCTAATATCCTGGGTCTTCATCAATTTTAAAATTACAAAAGCAATTCATACATTTGAAAGAAAATTTGAATAATATTTTTCTGTATTTTGTGTGTACATATACATTTTCTGCAATAAGCACCAGGTTTATTATAAGTACTTTTTCATATCCTCAAAAAATGGTATTTTTCATAGCTACAGAGCTTTCTATAACATGGAGACACCATATGTTATTTAACCAACCTGTCTATTATTGGGCATTTAGGATTTTTCACTTTTTCCCATTACAGATGACACGATAACATTGTAAAGAATGCTTTTTATAAATGTCAAGGTCCACACATATAATTATCTGCAGGACTTCTCCCAGGAGGCTTTAAAAGGCGTCATAATTTTTAAGCCTTCTGATAGCATACTGCCACACTGCTTTCCAGGGCAAGTGGCTGCATCTCTCTTGTGGACTTGCATTCACTGAAGGGATGGGAACGTCTGTTGGGTAACCTGCTGAGGCGTTTTACTGGTTACCCCATATGTGGCCTCTTTGCCCTTAATGATGTTTTCTAGTGACAGCTCTTTCTGCTGCCAGTCTAAGCGGAACTTGTCATCTCCTTGCTCCTCAGGGACTTCTGGAGGCTTTGCTGCTCTGTCTCTGGCTTCTCTGTCTGTGAAAGTTCATCCCCTTCCTTCAGGAGAAGCCAGACCATTTAGTGGAGAAAGAGCTTGGGGATAACAGAGAGAGGAAAAGTGGATAATAAAGCTTACCCTGATTTTAAAAAAAAAATCCCTCTTCCTAGATATCCTTGAGGTCACTCCAAGACACTTACCTTGGGTTGCAATGTAGTGTCGGGGTCGGTGGTACCCCTGGATAATAGGAGGAAAACACAGTGAAGGGTTTCCAGTCAAAGCTTGAAAATAGCTCAGTGTTAAGATAAATCTCTTTCCAGCTACCTGGTGTTCTCATAGGCAAAATGGGGATAGTGTCTCAGAGAAGTACTGAAGACCATGTTAAGACCACACATGCAGAATACGTAGCCGCTTAACATTAGCTGTTATTGTAACTACCTGTGAGGGGCCCATACAGATTTACCATAGGCATTCCTTATGCTCATGCACCCAGAAATAGGGGGAGAAGGCATTTCAGGTTGATGGTGGATACCAACCACCAACCAGCCTTTCCTGACCCATAATTGTATGCAGATCCCGATACTAGGCCTACTGGGGCACCTGGAGGAGGAAACAGAGAAAGACAGATATATTTCTGACTACACAGGGGTAACAGTCAGAGAAAGGAAACTGGAAGGATGTCACATTGTTTCTCTCTGGCCATAAGAAAGTTTTGGGTGCAGAGAGGAGTATGTGGAAGTGTGAACTCAGAGAGCCAAGAACTATTTGCTGATTTGAAGACCAGTTTGTGATTTTCCTGGCTTTTTCAGAATGCTCCCCTAAGCCTGTACTTATGATGTTCTCCCTGGCATGGAACTAACTTGTTGGCCCATAGCATCCTAGTCATGAAGAAAGAGGTTGTAGATGACACTGTCTTTTACTTGGGAGTGCAAAGGATGGAGGGCCTCCTTTGTTACAGAGGAACAGTGTATCATTTTGAATAAGAACTGTATTGTATTGAATAAGAGTTTGTTTAGTATAGATTATCAAATATGATTAGCATTTAATGATTGGATGGATGCATGGATGATATAGATACATTGTTAAATTTGTATTTGGTGTGTGTGTGTGTGTGTGTGTGTGTGTGTGTGTGTGTGTGTGTGTGTGTGTTGGACTATATGGACATGTTTTCATAAATGTGTGAATATGTGTGTACATGCATGTGAAAGTGAAAGGCAGACATCGGTGATTTCCTCAATAGTTCTCCAACTTATTTTTTGAGACAGTCTCTGACTCAACTTAGATCTCATTGAATCCAGTGAGCTCCAGGCACTCCCCTTTTGACTCCTCTCCCCTTCCCCAGTGCTCAGATCACAGAGCTATGTGCCCAGGCTTTACAGGCATGCTAGGGATCCAAACCCAGTCCTAATGATTGTGTAGCAGGTATTTTACAGGCAGAGTAATTGCCACAGTCTTCAATCGAATGAATCATTGTTGATGATCCTTGGATATACTTTACATTTAGGGTTAACTGTCCCTAGACAATATAAGTCCTAAAGTTTGGTGAACAGCTATTTCAGTTTTAAATATTGTAAAATAATGGTAGAGAAGTTGAGCAGTCTCAAGTCCTTGAAGAAGGAAGTCAGAACTGCCCTCTTATGGCTTTGGTGGCAACTCTGAAGCCCTGGGTTTACCAGATGACTCAGATTAGTGTATGATAATCTAATTAGTATATGATCATTAGTGTATGATCTCTTATACTTTTGTGGACCTTACTATTTTACTTGTCTGGTAAATATTTAGTGGTTTTCTCCTAATTTCTGTTCATACTTTATCTGGAGTACCTGCTATCACTGACCTAAGACTAACATCATGACCAGAAACTCTCTGTACAATAGTTAATCTTCATTGTCAACTTGACTGGGTTGAGAACTGCTTAGAGGATTAATGACACACACCCCTAAGTAGGTTTATCTAGGGACATTAGGTCATGAAGGCTCTGTCCAAGGAATGGACTAACTCCCGATAGATTCATAATGTGGTGATAATATAGTGAGAAGGGGAAAACAGGAGGTCAGGCCTAGTTGGTGGAAGTGGGAGAGTGATCTTGGAGATTCTTGTCCTGTTCTGTTCCTATAACTCCCCTTCTCTGCTTCCTGGCTGTGATGCAAACTGTGATGTGAACTGTTGTGCCCTGCCACACCCTCTTGTTAAGATAGATTGATTGACACCTCTGAAACTGTGAGCCAAAATAAATATTTCCTCCTTTAAATTGTCTTACTTAGATATTTGGTCACAGCAATGAAAATGCCTAAGTTACATGGCTAGATTAACCCCACACCACAATTACTGCCAGTAGAACCATATACTTAATGAGGACACTCAGCTGCCACAACTGACTCCTATAGAAACTATTCTTCACAGAGCTTGTATAGTGTCAGATTCAGAGAAAATACCAAATAAGCAGACTGCAACAAGCCAACCAGAAGGACAGCATAGCATGTGGATTATATTTGCCATGGACTAACTCAGTTGTCTAGGTTTGAATTTTGTCTCTGTCCCTTCCAGGCTGTGTCATCTAGGATAAATTATTTAATTTCTTTGGGTCTCAATTATACCTATGAAATGGGGATCAGACTGCTTAAAGAATATTAAATAAGATTAAATAAGTTAATATGTGGCAGTTCCTATAACATGTACTGGACACAATTCTAAAATTTTACATGAGTATCTTTGCAATTATAATATTATTGCTCATTTGGTAAACATTTATTGAGACCTTTCAATGATTAAGAGTGCATACTGGACCTTTAGAAGTTGCTGCATAGATAAGTCCTCCTATGTTAGTAGTAACTGAGCCCTCCTACATGAACAAAGGGATGGAAAGGCATACCTGTCACCCAAGTCAAGTTGGACATGGCTATGCAGGCTGGATAGAAGAATTAGATTCTGGGGTCTTTTGAGTAGGTTTGGGAACAGAAAATTGCTCCCCAGGGCCCAGAATGATGAGGTTTCTTGTGTCTATCATCTTCTGCCATCTCCACCAGCAGCTCTTCTCACGGTCTTCCCTGTCCTGGACCATAGCTTCAACCTCCTGGTGTCCTCCAAGAACCCATTTTTACTCCTGAGACTCATCTGCTTCCTGCAGTAGTGGTTTTCTCAGGATACACCCAAGGGTGTCAGGTTTTTTTTTTTTTAATTTGAATTTGCAGTGACCCTGCACTGCTTGCATGGTAATGTCTAAATGCTTCATCTTATAGTAACTACACGTCTGCATCCTCATCTTGAACATTTCTCCCAGCTGTCTCCTGTGTCTGCTCCCTCAATACACTCATCTTGTGTTGCAGCCTTACTACCCAGGACTTTAGACATGGTCTCTTCTGTGATACAGAGGTAACTCCTTCCTCAGGATTCTCCTTTCTCTTGAGAGATTCCACAGGACTTCACATATATCCAGTGAATACAGGAACATGAACAGCACTAAGATTTTTCATGTTTCTCTTTTCCAGGGTCATGAGACACACCACCCAGAGCTAGGTGCAGCTTTCTGGAAAGGTTGGACAGTGGGATGCATGCATGAGTCTGGTTTTTGCATTAGCAAAGACCTTGGAAGAAACTATGGTTTGAAAGATTCAAATGTACTTGAAAGTTAATGGTAAAAAATTCTGGGCAAGAAATTCACATATCAATTGTGAGATTGGTCTGCTGAGGCTATTTGGTGCTTTTATTTGTTTGTGCAATCATTTCAGATTCAAACAGCAAGCATTAAAGGTGCACATTCTACTGTACACAATGCACCAGAAACCAACAGTGAACCAGACAGATGTAGGCTCTGCTTTGGAGCAGCTCATAGACATCTACAAACCGGGATATGAACCTCCAAGGGAAGATGTGGGGGCTCCACAGAGCACCCATGGGAACTGACTCAGCCATGAGGCCAGAGAAATGTTCTCTGAGGAGGTGGTGGTTTAATTAGCTTCTAGTTTGGGCCTCTTGACATTCCTGAGTTCCCACTTCATGCCGTCAGTCTTCCCACTGCTGTCCCCATTGCCCATGGACTTATCGCTCTTCCTCAGAAGTAGTAGTCACATTTCTGTCCAGAAGACTTAGCACCAGGCCGCTGTCGGCTTCTCTCTGCTACTTCCAGCTTGTTTTTTGTCCTTCCATTGTGTGTGTGTGTGTGTGTGTGTGTGTGTGTGTGTGTGTGTGTGTGTGCATGCACAGGTGTGTGGAGGAGTCCAGGCACATGTGTGAATATGTATGGAGGCCAGAGGTTGATGTCAGATGTCTTTGTCAATCACTCTTTTCAGTGAACCTGGAGATTGTTGACTTGACTAGACTGCCTGGATAGGGAGCCCCTGGGAACCTCCTGTCTCTGCATCCCCAGTGTTGGGATTACAGCAATGCTGCCCAACATGGCTCTTTACGGATGCTAGGAATTCACATCAGATTCTCGTGGCAAGCACTTTACCAACTGAACCCAAAGCACCAATCACCAGATGGCTTATTCATTTACACCCTTGTTTATCTCCCCACTATGTTATGGGAGTTCTACTAGGGCAGGGCTGTACCTGGCTTGCTTGTGGCTATCCTCTCAGCACTAAAGGTTTGTCTTCGCTGTCAACCCTGGTACAACCACACTGAATGCATGTGTGCCACATGCCTGACCCCATGCTGCATCTGAGCAAAAAGACCTTCTCTGGACTCCAGAAACTCACACAGTTCCAAAAGAGGAAAAATTCAAACCACGAGAGCGATTCCTTGGCAAAGGAGATAAAAGAAATGCATTGCTCAATTGGGTCTCCTCTGGGGATTTGCCAAGAGCTAGTGAAGAAAACTTCCTAACCTTAAAAGAACTTTCAGTTCATTTAAGTCCCACCTACACAGCACACACATCGACTGCAAACCAGTGCTGGGCCTGCCTCCATCTGTCTACGAGCAATGGGAAAGAGGTTTGCATCCAAAATGCATTTATCTCACTCTGAACTCCTGCATCTGTTACTTACTGGGGACTCAGATATGATATTTATTTCCAGGCTGGTAATTTATAACAGATTCAAGTGGCCCATACATTTTCAGGTGTGCAAACAAACATGCCAGTGGGCTGGTTCAGAGAGCAACATACCCCGGCCTCCAGAGGCTCAGGCAAGGTTGACCTCATCCAGCTCATTATCCAAATAGAGTCGTTTTAATGAATTGTCAAAATCCAATTAAGAGAATGGACTCTAGCTTGGATAGCTAGCTCTTGTCTTTGGGCTGTGGTGAAGACTGGGACAAAGCAATAAAGACTAGATAGCTCATATCCCCCAGACCCCCCCCCCCCCCCATTGTATTGTTGGTTTTCAGGGATCCCTAGGAGACCACAGAACACAGTTCTCCTGGGATTTCCGGCAGGCCCGCAATTGTGATTCTCCTGCTTCCTGCCCTGTCGTGGTAACACCATAAGAAGGGTACTTTTATGTTTGGTGTCTTTTTGTCTCACCACTTTCCCCAGTGTCTTTTCCACACCCTGCTCTGTTGCCATGGGAGGTGACAATATAAATTGCAATGTAGGCACTCATGTCCTCAGGCTTTGAGGGGGCATTTTCTAAGCAGGAGGGGAAGCAAAAGTGCAGAGGCCAATGGGAGGTTGGGACATATGGCCTTCTAGGTTCTGTGTTAGCAGGGGTTGGTTTCTCCCTGGCAGGAGCAGACAGCCCTCTCCTTACAGTAACTCGATTCCTTTTATACCCATTATCTTATCTAGCCACAGAATTTTTGAGATCACTTTGCCATCTCTAACCTCAAGATACTCCACACAATCTGGTTGGTTAGTCTGCCTCAGTATTATTCAGGCCCTTATTAAACTCTACCTGGTTAAGACCTGTGAGCCAGCTTGTTTCCTCTTGGAACCCTGATAGGCACTTTATAGCAGTTATCACACACTTGTGGGCTGACAGTTACCCAGAGTTACAAAGGTAGTCATCAGATAGGCCAGTATACAACAGGCCCAACAAAGATGGGATCCATGACTGCAGTCTCATTAGTCCTTGGCACTAATCACTGAGATGCAGCTCAGGGCCTGACACTGCCTATTAGGCCAGCATGTGGTAGAGACATTTGGCCTGTCTGCACAATCTACTTCTTACACAGAAAGGGAGGGGGCTATGCTGTGTTCTAGCTGTGCAGAGAATTAAAAGTCTAGCTGTGTGACCTAGGGCAGTGCTCTTAACCTCAATCCCTGGTTTCCTTTAAAGGCTTGCAAAACACTTTGTAATGACAGAACAGGACAGAAATGGAAGACCTGATTAGTGCTGGTACTGTAGAGTCACTTGCATTTAAAGCAATTCCATTTGCTGCCTATACAACATGGAAATTTCTCAGTTCTACATGTAGTCAGGCATTCACTCTACTGTAGATTGAGTAAGTAGCTAGAGAAATGGTTTTGATGTGTGTTTCCATTTAGATATTAAATGCCAGATAAATATGGCAACCTGGGCACACAAGACTATGCATGTGCTATATCCTTAGGATTGTCCTATCCATCTGACCACAGCCAAGGTAGGGAAGGAAAGAAACAAACTAGTCCAACCCATATCAACATGTGCTAGCTGAGTGCCCACTAAATGCATGCTGTGGGATCGTGTTAGGGGTAGATGAAGGACCAGGACAAAGAATGCTGGGCTGGGACATTCAGCTATGGTTCATACTCAGCTTGTGTCACAGACCATCTGTATGACATTGGACAAGCTTTCCAATTTCTCCAAGTCTCATTTTCCCCATATGCAAAGATGGAGTGATAAGAACCACTGTGAAGTGTTACCAAGAAGTCTTAGTAAGTTGACTCGCTTAATGCACACATAATAAGAGCCTGCTACCATTGTCACTGCTTATTATTATTAGAGGAAACAGAGTTGGGCACTCCTGATTCAAAATCTAGCTCTTCCTCTCTTACCTCCTTTGGGTGGGATTCTAGGTACATTACCTAACCTTGAGAGACCCAGCTTGCTCATCTGGGTATGGGTACTAGAGGTATTTATCCAGTGAGGTTGAAGTACTACTCAAGGTGACATACTGGTACATGAGAAGTGATTGCTAATTCTTAGGTTACTATAACTCTTTCTTGTCCAGCTGGTTCTTTGTCACCTTCTAAGGCAGGACTGAGATGTCATCTCCTTCAAGCTTTCATTGGACTCCCTCTTGAGCCTTCAGTCTGACAGCCCCTGTTTTGGGAAGGTATCTTTTCTCATTGGACCCCTCTTACCAGACAGAATCCTTATCTGAAAGGTCAGTATTTCTAGCACACAGTGGAATGCCTGCTTGGTGTTTGTGAAATGACTGTTAAAGGGGAAAGCTAGTAGAATGGTCAGTGGATGCTTAGAGAAACTCGCTCTTGCTGGAGACAAGCTGCTCAGAATTGGATTCCTCCTTGTGAAATCATCTAGGGGGCTACAGACACAGAGACTACCCTTCTTAATCTCCACTGAAGCTCTAGCCCCAGGTCATGGTCACACAGCAGGTCCTTCATTAGGCAGGGTCCAATAGTGAAGTGGAAACCACTCTGGGCATTGCAGACAGGGGATTCAACATGGAGAATTGGTTTTATGAGTTCTAGAGGAGTATGATGGCACAGAGGAACCACGGGTCAACCTCAAGATCAGTAACCCTTAGAGCCCCTAGATCAGTGGTTCTTCACCTGGGTGTTTCTGTTCACATAACACCAGTAACCCAGGCATGTAAGGCTCTATGTGGGTGCTCTTCCTTAGGACAGTCACATCTACCTAGCCATAATCAAGGGAGAGGAGAAAAGGAAGGAACCACTCTAACCTGGATTGGCATCTGCTGGTTGAGTGTTCACTCAGTATAAAGTAGTGTTAGGTTCAAAGTTCGACAAAATGTTTGTTGAACTAATGAACCAACTGGCCCAGGCTATGCTATAAGAAAATTCATGAAACATGTCACTGTACTTCATAGCTGGTCTGTAAATACATTCGAGAGTCTGAGGGATCAGTGGGAATCTGAGTCATTCTTCAAGGCCTCTAGGCTCTGAGTTGAGTCCTGAAGAATTCATTTTGGATCAGTAATTCTGGGATATCTACTTAGCAATTGTGGCCAGACTTCCTCTATCATAGTCTCTTTCATTTCTGTGCATACCTTTCTTGGCTCCTGTCCGAACTGAGTCCCTTTCTCAGTAGTGTCTGGACTGAGGTGGCAGCCTCTCTCCTACTTGGTTGTATTAATTCCAGGCTCTCTTGTCTCTGTTCTACCTTTCTCCAGTAGCAGATGAATTGTAAAGCTCAGTGCTGAATGGGACCCCCCTCATTCAAACACCCTCAGTAGTTTTCTCTTTCCTTGAGGGTTCCACCTTTTAAGTCATCAAGGATCTAGTGCCAACCTCATTTTCCAGTATTCCCACTGTACTGTTTCCACGACTCTTGGACAGAGATGATATGTATTTTTTCCCAAGCTCCTTCCTCTGGGCAAGAGCAGTTCTCTAACCAAGGGCACATCATCTCTCACTTTGATTTTGAATTTTACTTTTCATTCATTGGAAGCTTTGGCTCACATAATTTTCTGCTCACATGTTTTATCTGGACTTATAACAGTTATCAAGTTCTAGTTTACCCTAGTTTACCACAGATGTGCACAGCTTATCACTCTTCTGATATTTTTGAGGGTAGAGACCCTGACATTTTTAGTTTTATGGGTCTTATAATATCTAGCATGTAGTGAGTCTTTTGAACATTTTGTTGCAACAATAGTTGTACCTTCAAATGAATGACTGCATAGACAGACACATACAAATTAATACATGGATTGAATAAATCAAACTAGCAGTTTCCCTGGAGCCCCAAAGAGCAGAGGACTCTAGTCTGCTCAAGAGCAGATGTGGCTTTGGGTGGATAATCAACTTTTGTCATATAAACTGGGAAAGAGCTACTTTATGACTACCTTCTGGTAGACAGGTTAAAGACAGCCTTTAAGTTAGACCTTGAGTCTGGACCGTCAACTCTAGCCCATAGCTACTTAGCCTAGTCAAGATACTCACATCAATGTAGTTGGCATTGATGTAGTCAGAGTGGGGGTCTCCATCCAGCACCAACAGCCTCACCCGGGAGTGGTCATCTGCAGAGAGAACAAAAAGCAGGAAGTGGTAGATGAGAAGCTATGGGATGAGGAGTCAGTAGTTTTCTTCTTTAGAGCTGTCACTCATTAGTGACGGCACAGCAGGAACTATGCCACTTTCTCACAGTTATGCTATTTGTAGATGAGGAAGTAGAGGTACAGAGAGGTGACAAATCTGAAAAAGGACCCCTTTTCTACTTTCTATTCTTCATGATTTCACCATTACCTTAGCAGGTGTGTCACCTGCTTCCTAAGTCTTAGTGATGCCATCATCAATATGGGGATGGAAATACCCGCTTCATGGGATAATACAAGAGAGACTGATGTAAGTACCTAAAGCATAAGGTCATGGAGTCTGAACCAATATTGTCCATTTCCATGCTTGCTTAACAACAGCAAGTTACCCATTTCCCCATGGACACAAACTACTTTATGTTTGTCTCTTGGAGCACTGTGCAGACAGATTGTTGGCAAGGTATTGTTATCAATACTATCATTAAACTGAGGACTGGATCATTAGAAAAGAGGTCATCAATAACTAAAAGTCATGTTACTGAGAATGCCTTTTCAAACACAATCTAAACATAAACAAGATGTACAGGTTTTAGTCAATAACATGCTTGCTTCAAATAACGCCAAATTAGAATCACTTTAAATGGTACATCAGAAAAAGCTGGATAATCCTTTGCAATTAATTAAAGTCAATTCTGACATGCTAATATATATGCACTAGAGAACATCTTTTTTGGGTCTGTTGGGAAGGACCCTCAGTCTGCTACCTGGGTCACTGTGCACCTGCCATTGCATACATACCTCATCCCCATCATACTCCAGGGCAGAGATGGGGTTCACGGTCATAGTGGGATAGTGAGGTATGGGCATCCTAAGGCCTCATGGGGTTAAGGAGGGCAAACCAACTTTTCATTTTAGACTTTTATAGTACTCCTCAGTTTATAGGTACATTTGCTGGTACTAACCCGAGTTTCTTGAGATAGGGGCATTAGCTGCCTTGTTCTGTGTTCTGTTGCAGCCCTAAGGGATTAGCACACAGCAGGCACTCACTGAGTGCTTGGTGAGTGTCTAAGTGAATGGCCCCATTGGGTGCTACCAGTGATCTCATGAGAGTGGCAGAATGGTTGTGTTAGTCCTTGTGACAAATGAGCAAACTCAGGTTCATAAAAATTGGCCATATGACCAGTGAATGGTGCAACATAGAAAAATGTGGGCCTGTTAACTCCAAGTTCATATGTTCCTACTTTCATAAAGCTCCAAGCAGGAGATTAGAAAGCATGTAAGTATTCACAGTGGGGGATAACCAGAAAAGTTATTGGTTGAGTGATGGAAGGAACTTTTAAGAAGTGAGATAATTTAAAAAAACAATAGAGCTACTACCTTCGCAGGCTGGATGAAGACAGAGATGGCGTAATATTTTCAGAATTCTATAATTGGGACAGCCTTCTAGGACTGGTGCCCCCAGGGGTCTCTTTGGCAGGAGTTGGACACAAGGAGGAAAGTCCCTCGTTGCAAAGGAGTCATCTTGCAGAGATCAGCTCCTTGTAATGCAACATCAACTAGAAGGCCAGGAAAGGGTCCAGCTATGGGCAAACAGGCCCTGGGCTGGTATAAAACACCACTCATGTCTACTAACTCAGAGTCAATCACTAGTATCAACAGGCATTAGGTACCGTGCTTGGATAATGTGTTATACTGGATACCCCTTTTCTAATTCTCCAAGGAGGGAAAGTTTCAGTGGGAGCCCCTAGAAAGGAGGAGTAGGTAGGAGATAACTCTGAATGGGTATGGGATAGAGATAAAGGGTATAGCATAAGAAGAGTTTGAACTTTACTGAATTTATTGTAAGTCCCCAACACTAGATACATCATCTTATTCACTTTTCCCTGAAAGTAGCTCTTTACCTTATCATGGTCACAGTGATGTGCTATTATGATTCTGACTTCACAGGTAAAGGAACTCAGGCTCACAGAAGTCAAGAACTTTTACAAATTATATAGCTACTGTCTAAGGTTCATCCTGCTCTACCAACAGGATGCACTGTCCTGAGGAATTCCAAGTATCTCTGAACCCAGGCTATCAAGCCCTATTACCAGCAGTTATAGAATCTGTAAGCCTCAGAGAAGGGAAATGTATATTATGTTTTCATCCAATGCTCTTATTAATGATTTAGTGATTCAAAGTCTCTTTTATTTATGAAACTGATGAATTGCCTGCTATGCTAAGGAGGCAGATCAAAATTTCCTTTACTAACTGAGTTATGCTTGCTTGGAGACCACAGCAGTGGAAACAGAGGTTCTGGTTTAAAATGTTGAAAGGAGATATATAGATCTGAAAGCAAAAATCATTAGAAACAAAGCAAAAGAAAGAAAGTTACTATTTCTAATCAAGTATCCTTGTAGCACAAATCTTGAGTTCTCATTAATAAAGACAAACCTGAAGCCAGGTATTGGGGTGAACGCTGGAAGATCAGAGATGCAGAACAAGCCACATCTACCTCACCTTGCCCATTCCTCAGCTGATCCTGTTTCCTCAGACTGGAAGCTTCTGAGTCCTTATCCAGAATGAATCTTAGCTGAACTGCTGCTGGAAGCCTAAAAGCTTAACCAGCCCTAGTTGCTGGTTTTCATGCTTTATATACCTTTCTGCTTTCTGTCATCACTTCTTGGGATTAAAGGCTTGAGTCATCATGCCTGGGCTGTTTCCAGTGTGGCTTTGAACTCACAGAGATCCGGGTGGATCTCTGCCTCCAAAAGGTTAGGATTAGAGGTGTGAGTGCCACCATTTTCTGGCCTCTATGTTTGTCTACTGGTTGTTCTGTTCTCTGACCCCAGATAAGTTTATTAGTGTTCACAATATATTTGGGAACACAATATCACCACATATCCTTAAAGATTATATGTCTCTAACCATCAGGGTGTCTACCAATATCTCCATTTATTTATTAAGAACACACTTGCTGAGTACCTACTATGTGCCAGCCTAGTTGAAGAGACTAAGAGAGGGTTACAGTAGGTGAGCTTCATGCTTAAGCAGTTGGGGCAATTTGTTCAAGGAGATGAATCATGAATGGAAGTGAAACATCAAGGTCTCGAAAGTGAGGGATAGTGAGCTTTGTGTACTGAAATGTGACTGAGAAATTAAAAGTGATCCATGGGCATCAAGGAAGTCTTTCTCTTAGTGGAAACTGTGGAAGTAGAGATCCTGAAGGAGCTAACTCATTGTAGGAAGGTGCAGTGGGAGTAGGACTGTGGAAGACTCTTGTCCTGGGATCACTGATTGCGAGGGGAACAGGAACAAGAGAGGACAGAGGAGAAAGCTGGATTCGAGTGGAGTGTCCTCTATGCCACATTAAGGTACCAAGATGCAAGTACCTAGGAAACTGAAAATTTAAACAGTGAAATATTACATACAGAACTGTGACAAAACACCACAATATCACCAAGTACTTGCCATATTTGTAACAGGAATGATCACTCACTCATTGCTGGTGGAAACACACAATGGTGCAGCCACTTGGAAGACAGCAAGACCATTTCATACAAAATGAAGAATCCATTTACCATGTGATCTAGTAATTATACTCTTTGGTATTTACCCAATGTATTGCAACCTTATAACCTTATAACATTAAAATCTGTATGTAAATGTTTACAGCAGCTTTAGTCATGATTGTAAAAACTTGGAAGCCACCAGAAATATCTTCAGTAAGTGAATTGAATAAATAAAAGGTGATATAGCTATATACTGGAATATTATTCAGTGATAAAAAGAAATGAACTTACATGCTATAAAAGACATGGAAAAGACTTAAATACGATTGCTAAATGATGGGACCCAAACTGGAAGGGCTACGTTGAATGTTGATACTACATATGGTTCTAACTATATTATACTCCAAAAGAGGAAAAACCATGGAGTCTATAAAAACTTCAGTGGTTGGCAGGGGCTTAGAAGAGGAGGAAGGAGTGGAAAATAGGTTGAGCAACAGGGACGTTTAGGGCAAGAAAACTATTCTATAAAATAGTGTAATTGGAATATATGCATTTTCCAGTTCTACAGAACCGAACAATATACAATGTGAGCTCTAATGTAAACTATGGACTTGAACTAATAATAATGGGCCAATATTAGGCTATCAACTGCAACAAATGTTCTGCACTTGTGTGAAGTGTTGATGAAGGAAACAATATGTAAGTGGTGCAGAATTCTGTGCTTGCCACTCAGACTCTCTGTAAAACTAAAATTGCTCCTAAAGAAATAAAAGATAGTGCCTTGCATACAGCAGGGACTCAATAAATGGAGCCTTGGGACTGGATTTAAGGTACACAGTAGGGTGACAGTAGAGACACCTAAAAAGCTGGTGTTCCCCATTTGTCAATCTGCCCCAAGACAAATCTGTTTATCTGCAGAGGACAAGAGTGATGCATATGTTCCTTAAAGGACAGAATTCAGATACAGGTCTACCAGAAAGGCAATACAAAGAGTGGCAGTATCCTCATGGTTTATTTATCTGTTCTTGGAAATGCTAATATTATTCGGTGTCCCTTTCTTCTTCTAACTTTATGTAATTAGAAAGATAAAAATTGTGTTTACCCACATGCACATGGAGAAAGATGGGGCAGCCAATGATGGCAAGGAGCTTATACAAGGTAATTTACAAGCAGCCCAGAATGTTCATTATGCTCTATCTACATTTTGCAAGCTTGAAAAACAGCTAATTTGGCATGCAGTGTTTGAGAGTCAAGACAAAGAGAAGAGTTATGTAGAGTGATATGTTAGAGGAGAAGCTCCCTGACTGTGAAGTAAGATGAAGGGACAGAATCCTGGATCCCCCAGGTTCCTCGAGGAGGTAGAATTGGGAGAGACATAGCCATTGGTAGATGGTAGAGGGCTATGAAGGACAAAACTGTCCCATGAACACAGTTGCAGGGGAGGGAGGACATCACCTTCTGTTTTCAATCTATCTGTTCTTTATGGCTTTAGAA